CTGCCATCCAGGGCCGCCGAGAGGTTTTGGAAGCCTGAGGGGCGAACTGAAAAGACAAGGCCACTTGCGAGCGAAGCGAGCAAAAAAATTGTGACCACGCCCTTACGAAGAGCTTGAATTTATTTATTCGTTCATAACGATTTACTTAAGTGTATTTTTTACTTCTTTGATTAATACCATGTTAAAACAGAGTTCATTGCTTTATGATGCCCCCTAAACCTCAAGCCCCGAGAGGGGCAATTTACCCCCTTTCGGCGACCCTGCTGTCATCTCCTTTTCCCAGGGCCAGCTCACTTTTGAAAAGCAGCCCGTCATCTTCCATATCCGAAGTCAATTTCCTCTTTAAAATTTTGAGTTCAGCTGGTTTCTGTCTGCAAGTCGCGACTTCAGCTCAGTTTTTATACTGACAAGGAATGGAACAGTCAACTTATTGTTCCGTCTTCACTGCTTGCTAAAACCAGTCAGCGAAAGTTCCTCTACAATCGCTCGTTCCATGCAAGAGTCCTCTATGACCCTGTAAATTTTATGGACTATGAGACAGGCTTGAAAGATGTGTTGGTTTCTTTCTTGTAGCTTTTTTACAAATGGTCGTAGAGGTTCTTGAGTCCCAGAACCATTCTTCTTCAAACCAATGCGTAGCGCATCATAAAACACGCTGTAGAGTTGGGGTTTCAACGTAGGCTCTATTACTACAACATGATAACGTTCGACCCAACAAATATGTGAAAGTCTGACTGAATCATTTACCTGTATTTCTGCGAGGTCCATTACATCGCCGGAATGTGTCATTTGTGACCATTCTTTTTAGCGTGATAACGAAAATATTCAAGTAATTTTCCAAGAAAAAGGGCACTTTCCCCTTTTGAGAAAAAGGGCAGGGGTCTAGACCCCTAGGACCCCCCCTGTAGTTGCGCGCCTGGACCCTAATGTACTAAAATAAAAAAGGACCCTTGACATCAGAAGGGTTTTCACCCCGATAAGACATTAGTTGATCACAGTTGACTTTCATCATCGCACCAAAAGGACACATAAACTGTCTAATGCGCTTTTGATTATACTACGGCGTTCTTCCGCAAATTATCCACTTCAGTTGCTGTCTTCAAATGAGTCTGTCATGAAGTCAGACAGCGACAAGGAAGTTTACGGCAGCTTTTTGGGCTTCTTTTGTTTCCTTTTAGAGTGATTGCCACAGAACTGTTTATATTTTCTTGCAAACTTTGCACAAATCTTTATATTAAAAAGTGTATCCTGAAAACCTCTGCCATTGGATTATAAAAATTAATTATCAAAAAATTTATTGAATTTATTTTTATGCTGAAAATTTTTGAAGCTGACCTCTTTTAGTAGATATCAGTTGAAGCTGACCTCTTTTAGTAGATATCGGTTCCATCCAGAATATTTTTCTTCTATTATTTTCTAATTTCGGGTCTATTTTCGAAGGTATCTAGTTTTTTTTTATTTCTGATTTCCTGAGAGTTCAGGCAAAAATGATACATAAAAGTCAGCTTCTAGACGTTAGTCGAAAAACATTTTCTCGTGTATAAGAAACCAAATTGTCTTATTAAAAAATTTCAAGTTTTTTATATGCGGGTACATACAGTATGCTCTTAGATATGTCAAAATTAAAAATTGCACACTTAACCATATTTAAAATAGCGTTTTTATAGAAAACTTCTGTTTACACACCCCATGATTTGCCAATAATGCCATTTTTTCGGAATAGTGAGGGCAGAATCCAAAAAGTCATGCTGAAGTTGGATTGAATTCTGGGCCGTTAGCGCATCGGCACAAGTTGCTTCACCTAACCCATACAAAATGCTAATCTTCGATATAGCTTAAATAGACTCAAGTACAAGCAGCTTTAAGTTCCGGGCAGGAAATGGCCAAGAAAAGTTCACTTTCCCCACCAGAGATGCGATGCACCAATCCTACCCTAGATACCCAAGAATGGGAAGGGGAAGAGAACACATGGCTGAATTGAGAGCCTAGTTTTCCCTTAATGAAAAAGAACAAGAACTTTCAAATGAATCCCATGATTTAAACAGGCCTTAGCCTAATATAGTAGAATAAACAAGGATTTGAAGAAACACACTACGCTTGATATCTAAAGGGGAGGGAGGGACGGGAGAA